GCTTACATTTTTATGTATGTATATAGATAAATATGTGGCATAACATAATAAAATATATATACCTACCTGTTCGGAGATAAACGCGTGAATGTATATAAAAATACTTTACATATTCAACTAAAAAGACTTAAGACAACATGACTATCCGCATCCCACAAAGTGAAGGTTATATGTAATAGATACACATAATGTATCTATATACTCGTATGTATACAGCAAATGGATCAACATAATCTGTTTATCTTATTTGATTACTACCTCCAGGGTCTTCACTCAAAAGGGTATTGATTAGCAATTAGTTTCACCCAGTAAATTAGAGGTTCATTAGACACCGAAAGAAGGTCGGTCCGATAAATTAATTTACAACCTATTACTGACACGAACTCTTAAGTAAAGATAGCATGGATAAAATATTTGCTGACTGTTGTCCTTTGCAGTTTACTGAAGGGCAAATAGAAAGCTCATTGATTATTTTTATCGCTAACTAGATTTTGCCCGCGACCTCGTTCGTGTGGAATAGTTACTGCCTGCAGATTTTTGGTATAAAATTACTATCCTATGTCCTTTCTCGAGTTCCGAACTATGTCCATGCCAAATTTCACAAAAATCGGTACTGTAGTTTAGGTGTGAAGAAAAGAGAGACAGACAGACAGAAAGAGTTACTTTCGAATTTGTTATAACATTAGTTATATAGCTGTAATATTTTTCTGACACCTTGTATCAATAAAAGATCTGCACGTCGATTCTAAAAAATTTGTTTGATTTTGAATCTTGTTCGAGTGCGAAGTGAGTGTCGAAGTGACGGGGTAGTTAAATTTTAGAATGCCACTCTTAACGTCATCTCATACTTTATCTATCAAAATGTTGCTGTCAATTTAGTTCAACTCGCAAGTGTAGCGCTAGTGTACTACCACTCACAGCAGATTCAGATTCGAAGTTTAGAATGAAGTCTTACAGAATCACACCCCTGGATCTTAGAGTTAGACTTACTTGAGTTTAATTTCACAGTACACAGTCGAGCAGCACATTGTAACACATTTACATGGACAATTATCTACAGGATGTCGACCATGATATTTATAACATTAACAGACAATGAAGAAAGTTATAGTGACGTACTAATTAGTGATAATTAATGATATTACAACAATAACAGGGTTTTTTGAAAACCAGTCAATGTTTATAGTTGTATCGAAATGTCAAAAAACAAATTCTACAATGGATTTGTGACTTCATCTTATTTTTATATTTATTTCTAAAAATATAAAGAGAAGGATGAAAACAAAGTATTGTTAATATTTTTTTATAAAAAACGTTTCCCGACTCTAAGTTTTTCTCCTGTGCTGTGGGTGCGTTTACAAACACTAAATTTGACATACACATGACAGCCAGATCCGAAACAACAATTTGTTGATCACACAAAATTTTGTTCCGTGCGGGAATCGAACCCACGACACGTTGCACGAAAGCCAGTTGCCCAGCCACCGCATCAACCGTGCAGGCAAATCACTGAAACAATAATTTAATTATATTTAAAAAAAATTGGTATATACACTAAGATTTTTTGTCAGTAAAAGACTGTCATTCCTTCTCGCCTCATAGGACGATAAAAGTCTTTAGGTACTGATAATTATCTCCTCCTTAAAATAAAAACAAACAACAATAAGAATTTCCACATAAATATTCCATATAATATACTTTATACATATGTTTAGATAAATCATCGTCCTCATTATAATATGGTCTTCTGCTAACAGAGACCATTAAAATAGTTTAATAGTTTGGAAGCCTAACAAACTAATTCCGTTTTACATTTAAACACGTGTAATAATATTGTTTAGGGAAATTAGCTATTCTGCAAAATTTGTCTATCGTTAGTATTGTGTTGAACTATAAATAGGACGGTCAATAGGCTTCGTTAGTAAATAGACAACCGATAATTTATAGTAAAGGTATTGATTTATGCGAATTGTATCAAATTCAATTATATTATATACAAATTGGATCGGTTACCTAGATTTTGGTCGCTTTTAGAGAACGTGATCTAAACTTAGAATATAATTTAATATCCTCTAACTCCTAAAATAGATCGATACAAAATCTGAAAGATGGCAATCTACAATTTATTTATTTATGTATCACCATTATAATAACATCATCATCAACCTTTATATGCATATGTATGGGAGCAAAGGCCTTTTCAAAGTGGGCCAAAATGAGGCTAAGACGTATTCAAAAGTATATATTAATCACTACGCTAGATCAAGGTGGATTGGCGATTTCAATTAATTTAAAAGAAATTATAAATCGAAATTGCCAAAAAATCGAAAATTTTTGAAATCGCCGGTTGAAAATGGCCCAATCCTTCGCCTTCCCGGACCCTTCCCCAATCCCTAAATCTCCAAATCCCTAATCCCTAAAAGGTTGGCAACGCACTTGTAACTCCTCCGTTGCGGGTGTCCATGGGGGGCGCTGATTGCTTACCATCGGGTGATCCGTCTGCTCGTTTGCCGACTTATCACATAAGAAAAATAAATCCTCACGATTAAAATGGTTCCCATCATTATCATCAGCCCGTTTTCGTCTACTGCTGGACTCAAATCATTTTAATTTCACGCCACTAAACATTATGTTCAACTCATCCAGCCACTGCCACTGCGTATATCCATGGTGCCTAAATTATCTGAGGATGTATAATCAACTATTAATTCAAAAAGAATTAAAAACACTGCCAATTAATTCAACGTACTGTCATGTCCATCTAGAGAAAGATAGTTTCAATAACATTTAGTGGGAAGTCCAGATTCCAAACCTGAGAGTCTGATTGGCTTTCGAGTTCGGAATTTAATAGGACAGAGACTAGACACGTGCTCGGCAAGTGACGTGTGCTCGCCACAGTTTCTACTACACGGGTTTAATACTTAAAATAGTCCTTCAGTCTGTTCCCTCCTAACACGACGTAAGGTATGTGAACTCGATAGTTAATCGGTCTGTCTTTACCACTTTCAAGCTAAAACAACTGAAAGAATTTCGAAGAATTTTTAGCATCGTGGCATCGAGATAGATCATAGGATATATATAACAGCTAGACGGCTCGAAAAAAACTGTGGGTTAGGGTTTTTTTCATAAAATTGGTTTTTATTATGTGTAGTGGGAGAGCCATGCTTCGGCACAAATGGATCAGCTCAACCGGATTGATACCACGGCTTCACAGAAAACCGGCGTAAAACAATTACAGCATTATGTGCTACCGTCCGAGGTTACCGGAGGTCCAATCCCAAAATCTCCAAATCCCTAATCCCCAAATGGTCGGCACTTGTAACTCTTCTGTTGTTGCTGATGTCCAATAACGGAGCTGATTGCTTAACATCACGTTATAAATATGTTCGTATGCATATCACTGTAAAAAATTTAGTTTAATTTTAAAATTTATTTTAATTTGACTCCAAAAAATAGAAAAAAAATTGTTCCGAAATTAAACTATCCTTAATAATTTTGTAACTTAGCTTAGCAAACTTAATGAACTAAAAAGTGAAATCAAGTCTCATCCATCTCCACGTTTATTCATTTAACTACGAACGTAGGTGTATTAAAAGGGTATGTCTATTAATAGTCCCATTGTTTCGACTAGAGTTGTACATAAAATCTAAATCAGTCCCTGTCCATTTCTTAGACTTGTCAATATTTGTCCTTTAATACCTATTCAAGAATAAGCTATAACATTTAATATTATTTGGCCCAGCATATTTTTTTATTTATATTTGTGTAAAGGATGTTGTTTCACAGGTTGTTCTTTTTAAATTTTATAATTTAAATTAATTTTACCTCATTATCTACACTTACTTATCCGTTCCATATGCGTCATCTGCCGACATTTATTATATGCTTATTTACCTATTCGAACCAATCAATAAATTATATAAATTTAACTTAAGATAAATAAGTTTTTTTGGTTGCAAATTCGGGTTCGGGTCGGTTGTCACTAACAACCCCCGAATTTACAACCAAAAAAACTAAACCAATCCTAACATGCAAATAAAGAATTTAAATTTTAAAATTTCTTGCACTTTCACTTAGTTTTCGTGTGGCCTCCACCGTCGCACTCCTTTACTACACGTAGATATTCTTTGAACTTCTAAATAAAATCTTAGTAAGCTGCAACAACTTGATTTGAATACGAATTAGTTAGTGATTGTACTGAAAGCACTCCAATTCATTCAATATTATTCAACGGCAACATAAACAGTTGTCAAAGCTGAACGTGAAGTCACAGTTCAAAGTAATCTCACTTTGAGGCACTCCATAATGTCTCATGAATAAATTACTGGCTAGTTGCTCAAAACAGAATAAAATGCTATTTTATTATTCACTTGTTTATTTACCAGAGGTTGTTTAGTGACTACGGACGTTTCTATAGACGACTTATGTTCAAACGATTTGTTTAGAATTGTCAAATAAAGGAACGATTTACTTATATAAAAGTTTTGAGTTGTGGTACTAACTGTATTCCAAAATAGGTCTTTTAAAATTATTATGTCCAATAATTTTAAATAGAGAACGAAAAATTTCGAATCCAATTTTGTAGTCTCGTCCAACATTAGATTAATAAAGTTTTAAGTGAATGATCTGTATTGATCGATTTCATTTAAAAACATAGTTTATAACTAATTCATAGTCTTGTATTAAAATTGTTTGACCAAACTAACAATTTTAAGCCGAACAAAAGGAGACAAAGGCTTTTAAATTGATAGGCATTTGTAGCCACGTTCTACGCGTAACTAAGCATCAAAGACATTAAAACTACGATACCATTAGCCCGCAGTTGGAAGCTATTCTCTAGAATTATGTTTGCTATTTTTCCACTTTAATAGGTGGGAAAAGTAACGATCCATATTGGTTGAACCTGAGCGTTAAACTGAAAGTTTTCCGGGTCGTGTCGGATTTTCTTATCTGTTGTCACGCGAACCGTAAGTTAACAGTTTGTAATGTTATCTTTGTAGGCGCTGAGTCAGCATGTCTTGCATAGGGTGGATGGAGAAACAGTTGGCGGCCCAATGACAGCCTACAGCACCATACAATTTGTCGTGCAAAAACATCACTTCGTCAGAGGGAAAATTAAGGTAAGACTTATAATGTTATTTTTATTACCAATAAAATGAGTTGTCAAAAGAAATATTTATGTATTAATCCTATTTTGCTATGGAGGAAAAAATAATCAAAATTTCGGGGAAATAAAATGTAAATGAACTCTATTCAAAGAAGATGAATTAGGATTTTTATACCGTATACAAATTACTTTACCTGTATCTCAATAGTTAACGATGTCTTACTTATTATGTGTACAATGATCTGAGCATTCACAACGAAATTATTTTTTGCCTATATAATAAACCTTTAATGTATTTTTTTACACAATACTAGAAAGTTAGATATCTGCTTACTTCAATAAATATGTATTTGGTAAAATATTGTATACAAATGCCATTGTATTCTAACTTAAAAGATAAGGTTCAATTTCGAACAACCAACCTAAAAAGAAAAGTTTATTGTTTGATTGTCAACAAATATACAAAGACTGTATCTTTGTATATTTTTTTACATGTTGAAGTGTTGTGTTTAAGTCGCCCAAGTTTTTTAAACATTAAACAAAAATTGTTGTTTAATAGATTTCGGAGTCCAAACTGATATTACAAATGCGAACGTTACTCTGTCTGTCTGTCTTTTCTTCACGTCTAAACAACTGAACCGATTTCTGTGCAATTTGCTACAGACATAGTTTGGAACTCGAGAAAGGACATAGGATAGTTTTTTTATCAAAAATCTGCAGGTCAATATTCTACGCGTACGAAGTCGCGGGCAAAAGCTAGTATGTAAATGTAATACATATAATGATTATAAAGTTTTATTTGAAAGCGTAATAACTAGAACCCCTTAGAACTATCGATCGCAGTACAGTTTCTCTAGAAAACTACCTATTTCAGTCGTAAATTTGGAAAACACTATATCAGCTAACTTCCCTATACTTTGCAGCAATAAATAATGTAGTACTTTAGTGCAATACACGCTTAGTTATGAAGCATTGCCTAGACTTTGTGACCACGAAACTGCGATTAACATCGCGCATTGTGATTTAGACTTTTGATATAAAACTTCTGTTTTCTGTATTTCAATAATGAATGACGGTTTTAAAAGTGAGCTTTATTGTTAAGCAGCATTAAGTGTATATTTTGAATACTGACACTCAACCAACTTATAATTGCTGTCTAATTCATCAACTGGTTTTTCGATAAACTTAGAAGAAATTCACCTTATGGAAATAATTTATGTTTTGTATTTGTGTGTTTGTATGTGTGTACTCAACTAATAGCAACGATGCCATGATTCTTTGTTTATTTTATTTTTATTTTTATTTTACCAACACTTTTTTAATTGTTGTTTCTATCCGTTTAGATTCGGTGTACGGCAAGCGTCTACTCAATATACCTACAAAGCTTAGAAAAGAGTGCTGAGGAGGAGAGGATACGAACCACTCCGGTCAGCCTCCCAGAGGTACACGAAGCAGTAGTGTACTCTATACATCGCCTGCCAGAAACTAGTAAGTCTCTTGAGATTCCTTTCACAATACGCAATGGACAATAAATATTTTATTTGCTTCAGATGTTGAATACAGTTATGTTAGTAGCAAATTGGTCTTGTTGTTACTTCGTTAGAGATTCTAGTGTGTTGTTAAGGGCTTCATTCTTATCAAATAATTTGGTTAAGAGCCATGGAAAATTTTTGCCTATTTTCACAATTGTTCAGCGAGGATAAGAAATATAATTGTGTGTAAATAAAATGAAATATACATATGAAGAGTTCGCTGTACTAAATATTAAAGAGGTTAAAAAAATACAAGGAGGTATGATTCAATAATTTTATGAGATATATATTTTTGTAGGAAAATTTTGTAAGCTTATAGACTAGAAAACTCCACAAAGTTCTTGTCTTCTTAGAAATGACAATTCATAGTCTTAGACTATTCAAGACTATTGTTTAACATGGTATCTTGTTCAGCTTTTGAACAGCACTGCTTCTAGTTAATTTTATTATTTCTCAAAAGTCGACTTTATATGTAATAGGAGCAAATAAATTTTATGCAAATGTCGAATGGTTTCCTGGATTTCATTTAGAAGTAGACCAAATATTTGTTTTTAGAATACAATTTTCTTATTCTTTGAAATTTTCTTTAGTTTTATACTTGACTTTCGATTTTTAGTAGGCAGTAAAACAAAAAAAAAATATGCAGACTTGTTCCAATATATTATACTCATATACAATACATTATACTTATCCATATGTATGTTAAAAAATATGCCTAGTGTCTCAAGTGAATTTTTAAATCCGATAGATCACGATTTAAGAGATTAAATGAATACCAATATTAAACCATTTCTGAGAAGGAAAATGAAGATATTCACAATCTTGTGAATATCTTCATTTTCCTTCTCAATAAAAACTTTAATAAGGAAAGAAAACCCTAATGTGCAATGAAAACCGTGTTGCCAACGTGTGAAAATTACATTGTAATTGTAACATTATCATCTGAACGCCACTTTGTGGATACTTTTCCGTATAAAAACAGCTAATTTTAATATTAACCTTGTTCTGCGTGGGTATTGTAATTTCATTATTTCGCCACGTGTGAAATAAAGGCCTCCCTTATACATATCGCGTGAAATTGAACATTTTCGTTCACTAGTTCGACACAAAACACTATTGTTAACGACCTTAATTTCAAATATTATGACTGTGGCCTTCGTTGGAAATAAATCAGAGTCCATACCTACCCTACCTTTCAATTTTGAACTTCAATATTTTAATTAAAACGGTATTAATTGATATTCATTTCTGACGAGTTCGACCTTAACGATCTACTTTATTTTTAGCAATTTATTCTTTAATAGAAGCTTTGCTGGTCTTGAGTTTTTTAAATTGGTTGTTTGATGGGTTTCTTTTTTATATAAAAATATAATTTACTTTAAATCTAACGTGCCAGGAGTGTTTTTAAAAATGACAAGATACGAGCACAGACAACACTGACACCTTTGTGTCTGTAATTAATTACATCTACCTATTTCATCAAACATTGAAACATAAGTCCAAACTTATCGAATGCAGATTATATCTAGCGATATCCAAGACCTAAGTAAGCTTAGCCGTGTACAAATTTTCATAAAGTTACAGTAAGGTAGCTAGTCCACGTTAACGAGAAAATTAACTGTTATTACTTTAGCTGATCTGAGCTAAATTACAAATGACCCAGTTCTAACCGGTAGCAAAGTTGACCAACTAATATAGTATAATAACATTATCAAACAAAATATTGATATAGTCAATCCTTTTTCGAGGCTTTTATACATTTTAATAGTTCGGGTGCGGTCCGTAAATCTCTTGTGTAAACTTTGAAGCGCTATCGGTTATTTTATCATAACAAAAGCGATGTTAATATTGTACTGAATTATAAAGGGTTTATTATATTTTATAGAATGTAAATTGTGTTGCACACAACTTCGATTTTAAACGTAAATTGTTGTACGCCTCGTTGGTCGGGTGATAGGCCAGGATTTTGTGTTCGATTTTCGTTACAGACAAAGTGCTGTTGAGGGTATTTTTAGGTTACATTAAATTTCTCAATAATAGCCAAGAGGCTAAATAATAGGGGTTTTTAAATTGTATACGGAATACAGCAATAGGTTCCTGTGAAGTGGATGGCACGTGAATAGTTCTTCTTTTGGGAATTAATATGTATATTAAGATTAAGAAGTATTTACTTTATAATCCTCTGATATTAAGTGGAATTTTGTGGTCGCGCTGAAATGCGAATATTCAGTCAAATATCGACCATTTTTTTGCATCACATAGGTTGGTAAACGAGGTGACGGTTTACCTGATGGTAGGCAATCGGCATCGCCAATAGACACCCGCCAAACCAGAGTTTACTTACACCAGTAGGTACTGAATTTGCTGTGACCCAATCGACAGACTTTCCTTCATTGGCACAATACTTGATTTTAAAAAACGGAGTCTCAAAGCCTTTTATGTATGTATGTGCACTAAAGAATGCAAAACCAAACTATTTTAAGTCCGTCCCGAAACGCTCCGAAACGTACCGAAAATTTCCGAATGAACTATTTCGGTCGATGCCATTGATTGGATCACTCGAATTTCGAACTGCATTTTAGGAGCACGAACGTGTATTTAGACTCTCTGTTCTGTTTACAAAGAAAGTCGGTAAAGTTAAATTAGTTTACACAGCACAGTAAGAATTCGTGATCTGAATTATTCATTTTTGTATGAATCTTGAATGTTTTTGTCTTTCGTGATTTTATGAAACAAATGTGTATTTTAGTTATGAATTTCTAAGACGTTTTAACTTATTAGCAACCCTTCTAAATTCAAAGGCTTTTTTAAGTACTAATCCATTCGTCATCGAGTATAAAAATTTGTAATTTCAAAATCCTACCTCAAATACTTCAAATCAATCACACTTAGTATTTGTTGTTTTTTAATAACAAATTTAAAAATTGTTTAATTTAATTTCGAAGTACTGAAAATATACACGGTACCTATAGATAGACTAATATAAAGGGGATGAGAGAGAACACCGGACAGGATTTTAAGTAATGAAAACGCGACGCGGTGATGACGTCACAGAAACACCGAAGTCCGTTCTTGTAATAGTATTTCGTGCATTTGATCCAAACTTAATATTATCTACATGCGTATTGTAAATCAAGAGGATCAAAATAATTAAATACCTATACTAAAGTTTAGCCTTTCATTAAAAAGCCAGGTTAGGTCAAGTATTTTAAGAAGATCATTAAAAATAAAGGGCTATCTTATGACTGTCAAAGTTATTCTTAGAACTGAGATAAAAATCGTCTTCACAACCGTGAAATGAGTAAAACTTTAAGAAAAGGGTTGCCTGCTTAGAAACCTAATCTAAACGTCAAAGACTTTTTTGAATGTATAAAGAAGTGTTTCTGGAACTTTCTATTTTTGTACTTTCGTTCTTTTTGGAGGAGAAAAATTTAGATTTGCCTTCTTTTTTGTAGTATATGTCGACAAACGACTAGACAGATTACCTGATGGTAAACGACCGACCATGGACACTGTAATACTAAAGGATTAACTACAACTGCATTACTAGCCTTTTGTGGGATATTAGGGATTTAACGAAAAAGGATTTGGGGATTGAGAATGGGAGGGGGACGACGACGATAGGACCTCCGGTAACCTCACTCATACAGCAATGTGAATGTCGTTTCACGCTGTTATTCTGTAAAGCCGTGGTATAAAGAGTAGGACATCTTTGGTTCGACACGAATGGGCCGAGTTGACCGGGGTCATACCGCAAACTACCTCAAATCCCTAGATCTCTAAAAATTAAAAGACTGGCTACACACTAATAATTCAAAGTCAAACTCAAAATCATTTAAGTATTCCAACTAAACCATAATAGGTACTTTAGAAATATCAAACTAGAAAAGTAGTCTGTCAGTCAATTCGTCAGTGAAGCTAAGTGGAGCTAGATTCTTCTGGGTAGTGGGTACTACCCAGAAGAATCTAGCTCCACTTAGCTTCACTGCCCATAGGTCGAGCCGATCACTAAACATCAGGTAATTCGTCTACTTAGGTATTTCCGAAACTCGATTGAATATGTTGTTATTAAACGGTCGTCTATTGCTGGTCACATAATTGCTTACCATCAGGCTTGTTAATGGCGTCGCCTTTAAAAATTGAAAAAAAAAAACTACATGTGCGTGTGCGGATTTTCGTTGCGAACAATTTTACTCTACTATTTCAATTCTTCAGGATTAAATAAATCAGTAACAATACATTTAAAAAAAACCGTTATATAATAAATTATTACTATTCTCAATACAACTGATTTCGTGCTACAATTAAGGTGTTGTTCAGCACCTGGCCTTACTTCAGTTATATGCTATAATAATTATATGCTACAATTCCTAGAAACTCAAACACTAGATAATACATAACTAGTGAGGGTAATTAGTCTAGTGTAGTAATTGCTAATTAACTTACTTCAATGTATTAAACCAAATTCGATGTAAATAATTATTAGAGAATTATTGTTATTATTGTTACTCTATAAAGCCATATCATTGGAGGTTTTAATCGTTGAATTTTGAGCAAAAACATGTGCAAGCTAATACTTAAATTATTACCTTGGAAATATAAACATATTAAGTAGCACATTTTGCTCCATATAAAGCCAGCTTTTTATCTACAAATTAACACCCAACGGCTTAAAATATAAAGATCAAAATAGCTTAACGTTCTTCTCTGTATCGAAAATGTGTGCATTTTAATTTGATCTTAATGCAGTAAGCAATAAGGTATCTTGATACTTGGCAAGAGCAATGTTATCGGGAAAGTCTGGCACAGCGTGAAACCACGTTTATAGCGAGATATGCTGGTGTGAGTGACGTCACATAATTACAAGCGCCCCCTGTTTTTGACATATGACACAACTAATTAATTTGAATTGTGTCAACCATCTTACCTTACGTACACACATAAATAAAGTTACGGTACTTTGGTTTCCCGTCTATGAAGGTAGGCCAAAAGTACAGAAACTTTTTAGTATAATTATTTAACTACGATCCGCCTCAGTTTTTCTAAATTTTTACACTGTTTAATGGATGTAATTTTTTATATAAATGTTCATCTGCAATCACTCTATCTATTTGAAAGAACAGCATCAAAATCAAAAAGCGATATAGGGACAGGGAAAGCGACTTGTGTAATGTTATGTTATACACTATGTAGTAGCTAATTTGCTTAAAGGTATCAAATAGACCCTGCGTTTATTTCTATATTTTTTTCCTAGAAAGTAAACTCACCGATTGCAGATCAGCTGTGATATATTCCGCCGCATGTTTCTTTCCGACAATTTTATTAACTTTTTGCACTAAATAAAACTTCCAAAATATCTATTCGACATTTCGAAATCTCACACTATCTTACCGTCATTAATATTCAGACCAATCTCACCAAAAACACTACACCAAGT